TGGACCTGCGGCTACGAATTGCATTTAATTAAATTAGATTCGGTCCATGTAATCAAGGGGTCCGGTTCTAATTGTATTTGCGGCGGCCGAATGTCTTTGTCCAGACAATATGGTAAACCCAGGGACCATTAACAACTGTCTATAATACTCCGAATTACAGTCATTATCTAAATACTCCATGGGTATAGTAATAAGAAGATAGTCGCAAATGCAACATTTTTTATTTCTATGCAAAGAATTGAAGAGTATGAAATTAGAAAACTTCAATAAAATGTAGAAAAAAAAACTGTTATAATTTATTTTAAATATTTTAACTATTTTTGCACATTCTTAGCCTTCTACACATAAAATATTTTTTGTATAAATGTTATTTATTTTCTTTAATTTGAGGACATCTCATTTTCTTGATTGTACTGCAAAATTCTACTGTACATTCTAGTTTTAAGGTTAGTAATTTAAAATTCATGACAGACTAAAGAATTGAAAATGTAATTGTTGCTTTAAAAGCTGCTCAGGGAGATTTGGAAATATCGTGTTTTCTAATATTCGTTAGATAATTCATTTATAAAATTTATAAGGAATTGGGAACAAAGATGGTAACATATCAGAAATGTTCAACGTTCTGACAAAACAAAAATGCCACGACCACTTTTTGCAAATACAAATTTGAAAAGACTGCCCCAATATGTGCATGTGTATGAACATATCTCGGATTGATCGTGATCCTAGAAAATCCTCCTAACTCTCCGCACCTGAATCCCTAGGATTTTTTCGTGTGAAGTTTTTTTTTTGGGAAAAGGTCAACGAACACTAATACTACACATAATACTAAAAATTCCTTTAAATCTGCTGTAGTCAGAGTCTCTTATGAATCATAATCATTTAATTCAAGCTTGTCGATGATTTAGATATCGTGTAGAGGTAGTTATTGATGCGGACCATAGTTTTATTGAATGATTTTGTGTTTTCGATTCTTACATTTTTTCATAAATAAAGTTAATTTCTTTTGTAGTATTTTTATTTTTTGGTGAGCATAAATTTGTCCTCAAATAACTTACACACTTTATATATAATTAAATTAAATGTTTTTTTTTTAATGAAAGATTATAAATCATTAATAGATGTAAAATTAATTAATTATTAATTATTATAATTAATTATAATATGTGGATGAATGTAAATTAGTTCTTAGTTTTGGAATTAAATAGAAAATGTATCTGGTTAATCTCGACCGTGCTCATAAAATTGTTAATTGAAAATGGGAATTAGATTTACATATGGTTTCCCTTATGTGTATCTTCCGGATATTGGAGCACGTCGAAAATGGATGAATTTTATAATATTGCACTGAGGTGTTTTTTGGCTAAAATTTATTCGCATCTCTGTTACATGATGTTTAATCTATATAGAAGTTGACCCCTACAGAAAATCATCAGAATCTCAATACATAATTTAAAATAATATGCAAATCAAAATACAGTGGAACCTCGCTTAATGAGCACCTCGCATAAAGAGTATTTCGTTTTACGAGCAAAATTAATTGTAAGAAAAAGACTCGCTTAACGAGCAACGTTTCGCATAACGAGTGACGATGAGAAGAGAAATCCTGGAATGCGCGCCTGCTACATCATTTTTAAAACTTGTGTACACACTTTATGTGTATTTTTAAATATGTTTCACTATATGAGTAAAAATACTATAATTACTCATATATAAATTAAATATAAGAAAATTATTAAATTGTGTATGAATCTTATTTTATATTTTAAATAATTATAATTATAAATATTTTATTATTACCAATTTATTTAATTAAAATATAATAATTACTTTTTATTTTATTTCATTCCAATTTTTAGGAATCTTTTCTCAATTTCTCTTATATATAACCATAATTACTACGTAAATAAAAGAAAAGTACAAAATGACCGTAGTGTTGAATATAAAAAGAATAGTACAAATTATTAGTTTTTACAATAAACACATGTTAACAACTAATCAAAGGTAAAAAAATAATTATATTGTTTTTTAACAACTTGTAATTCAAATATTTGAACCAAGTTTTCAATTTTTAATAATTATATCTGAACTTTAATATATTTAATTTATTTCTTTCTTTGTACAAAATTGTAAAATATTGTCATAAAAATGTCAAGATTGTATACGTATATAATTAAAACTGTCGTTTCGATTAATGGTATAGTATTATCATATTATTTTAATGAAGAAGAAAATGTGGACCTCGAAGAGTTCATTTACGAAAGGGTTTAGATGGAAGATAAGGATTATAACAAGTGAACTAGATATTGAATGAACACGAGACATGTAATCCCCCGCGTTGAATAGATTAATTATAATCTAAATTACGTCTATAATCAGCCAAAAGCGAACTGCGTTCTTGATAATTGTTAGTCAATGTCAATTAAATATTATGACAGATCGAGAAGATGAAGGGTGAGACGTTGACATTCTCTGATTATCCAAGACAATACTTGCTTGTTATGTAAACTTTTTTGTTCTAAAAGAATCAACGTTATTGTATATAACATTAATACACAAATTAATATTAAAAAATATAATAACGGAAAGAAAAATACAAGCTGTTAGCCAAAATGAAACCGATACTATCAAAAAAAATATTACAAATTATTATTTTTTACAACAAACACAGATTAATTCTGATTAATGAATTGAACATAATTTAAAACTGATTTTATTGCTCAAAAAAGTCTGAGCATTACGTTTTTTGAGTAAGCAGAACAAATTGGTCTTTTGCAAATATCACAAAACGTTGCTGCTTTCTTGTCGCTCTTGCTTGGACAACAACAAAAAAACATCTTACGGGTAAAATTTATTTTAAATGTTTCTATTTTATAATTACTAAATTAATTTCTCAGTAATTCCAATTAAATACATGATTTAATAATAATGAACGTCAATAATATTTAAATCGAAGAATATTCAAAAGAAATCTGTTTCCATTTTAACAGAATACCACTAAAAAAAAATATTAAAAACTAAATAAATAAATTATTTTTATTTTATTGACAAAAAATGATATAAAATATGGATTTATTTTTTATTTCAAAATAATGTAGTTTTATTCAAGGTATCTAGTTTACTTAGTGCAAATTTGTTTTGATGTTAGATATATAAATGTACTATATAAACATTTCAATATTTTAAACTCCAATTTGGGAATGAAATATTTAATTTAAAGTTTTTACTGAATTCCATAAAAACCTTTATCAATTTACATGATTATGTACTTAGATGTTAATCAACATCAAGAGTTTGTTTTCTCATTTTGAGATTCCTTAAAATTTATTGGAAATAATTTGATAATATGTGTTATAATTTGATAATTTCTGCATAATTATTTCTAGTTGGAAAACTAAGAAAAATAAATAGTTTCAATTAAAACATTATAGTTCAATCCAATTGAATTTTGTCTTTTACAAAATTTTCAATCTTGTTTCCTCACCGGAGATGTTGTTTCCATTTCTTGGTTGTTCGGAGGAACTCTCTTTTCCTACCATCAGGATGAACCACGAGAGTTACGATCTATTGACTACTTGCAGGTTCTTACCTGCAATCGTTCGAAAGAACGATAATGTATAGATTTAATACATATATAATTAAAACTGTTATTTCGATTAATTTTCGAATGGCATAACATTTTCTTTCTTTATTTTCATGAAGAAGAAACTAAGGACCTCGAAGACTTCATGGATGAAAGGGTTTAGATGGAATAAAATGATTGTAACAACTGAACTAGATATTTAATGAACACGAGGCATGTAATCCCTCGCGTTCAGTAGATTAATTATAATCTAAACTTCATCTATAATCAGCTAAAACCGAACTACGTTCTTAATAATAGTTTGATTGTCCAAAAACAATGCTTGTTTGTTAAATAAACTTTGTTTTGTAAAACAATCAATATTATTATATTGCGACTGGGGCTCCGATGATGGCGTCCGGGAGTGGAGTTGTAATGGATGAAAGTCGTAGGCCTCTGCGTGAATGATTTCGCCCAGAATCTTCAGACCCTTCTGTAGGAGCTCGACTATGACCTTCTCCGTTAGGGAGAGCACTCTTATTAGTGTGGTTGGTTTAATGGTTTGCCAGGAGACTCTTCCCCACACTTTCACAGCCTCAAGATCACGCACTTCTTGACGGCCTCCTCACTGATGTCTTCGTGCATTCAACGGAGTACGTGGTGTGTTTTATCGAATGGCGTAACGTTTTCTTTCTTTATTTTCATGAAGAAGAAACTAAGGACGTCGAAGACTTCATGGATGAAAGGGTTTAGATGGAATAAAATGATTGTAACAACTGAACTAGATATTTAATGAACAGGAGGAATGTAATCCCTCGCGTTCAGTAGATTAATTATAGTCTGAACTACATCTATAATCAGCTAAAACCGAACTACGTTCTTAATAATAGTTTGATTGTCCAAAAACAATGCTTGTTTGTTAAATAAACTTTGTTTTGTAAAACAATCAATATTATTATATTGCAACTGGGGCTCCGATGATGGCGTCCGGGAGTGGAGTTGTAATGGATGAAAGTCGGAGGCCTCTGCGTGAATGATTTCGCCCAGAATCTTCAGACCCTTCTGTAGGAGCTCGGCTATAACCTTCTCCGTTAGGGAGAGCACTCTTATTAGTGTGATTGGTTTATTGGTTTGCTAGGAGACTCTTCGCCACACTTTCACAGCCTCAAGATCACGCACTTCTTGACGGCCTCCTCACTGATGTCTTCGTGCATTCAACGGAGTACGTGGTGTGTTTTATAGCCGGGCGCCTCAGATTCCTGGCATGGTGTCTCGAGGTTGACGTGATGGTGATAGGACTTTCGATCCTCCCGGACAGCTTGGTTAACCGAGAGACTCGTCCGCACTACTGACGAATACGGTACGGCCTCGGATTTTGATGGTTTCGGAGTCCCGATTGAAGTTCATACGGAACTCGTTGATGGTAAGCATTTAGACCATGTACCTATGGTCCGTGCTCTCTGCTGGTAGGTCGTCTATACCCCAATGGAAGATGCAGGGCCTGGTTGGTGTTGTTGGCCTTGGCGAAGGCGGAGTGATCGGCCTTGGAGAGGGCGGTGCTGAGGGCATTGGAGACGATGTTGAGAGCCCTTTTATTTCATTGCTCTTTTATTTCATTTATTAATTGTTCATAGTTTACGCCGTCGCGTAGTTATTCCTTCTGCTTCAAACACTCACCATGTTCCGTTGGAATATGAGTGGTATATCTTCTGAGATGCGAATGTATCTGTTCTTTGTTTGAAACAATTTAATATGACATGCATTTTGTTCAGTTAATTATTCTCACTTGTCTTTGTAAAAATATACCTTAAACACATATGTATATTAAAAGCAGAGTTGACTAAGAAAAGGAAAATGTTGGAGGACATGAACTTGATTACTACCAGTAAGAAATATTTCAAGAGAGGAGATTTGGCAGTTCTGAAGCAAATGTGTTACCTAGGCAAGAGGTTATTAGTAGACTCAGAGATAGGTCAGAGCCAATCTCGCTTTTTGGAGAATCTGAGCTGGATGCATTCAGGACGTTGAGGCGTTGCGAGATATTGGAACCAGAAATTAGTAAGGGATTCAAGAATGATTTCCAAAAAGCCATGGAGCAGGTGGATCAGGAATATCTGGATGAATTGATTTCTCGAGCTGGCTCGAACAAGAGCAAGGTTGCTTCAGAGAACAAAAGTCAGGAGGAGGAACTGAAGAGCTATGATGAGATAAAGGAGATGACTGTGAAGATGAGAAAAGGTTACAGGGACTACGATATGACTGTAATCATGAAAGTTTCTTTTGAAAAATGTGGCAATATCAATTGCAAACTCGGTCCGCACAAGAGAAACGGGGAACCAAGGGAAAACGGGGCCACCTGTACCAAAAATGATTTATAATGTTGTTATTTGATATAATCGACGTCAATGATTTCTCCTCTACATTAATCAGTCAATTCATCTTTTTTTTTTTAATTTTTTACAAATTTGTTAATTTCTTCTCTCAATATTATTTTATAATATTTTTCTGGTTATTCATAATATTCAGTGATTTCTTTGTATTTTGCTATTTTATTATCAAGATTCTTAGCAACCAGAACATTACTATGTAATTCCTATATATCTTCGTATTTACTACTAAATATTATTAACCTGGTGTATATGGAGATCTTCATATATTTGTCTATTCGTGATCAACCACGGCACTCTGATAATATTTCTTGACATTGTGATTGATACCTTTGGTTCCTTAACATGTTCGATGTACCTGCAGATATTCAGATGCTACTGCTGGATTTCCATCTGATGACAAGACTGCTGTACCATCAGCGAATATTGCAATCTTAACATTGTCCATGTTTAATACTAACGAACTAAGCTTTCCACGCCAACTTCAGAGCGCACAGTGTTTTCATTGTTTACCAACGTGGTTGCGCTTAAACAATAACTATGTTAAGAATATCGAACCAGTCCATACTTTAGCTATGTGTAACTACTATGTATTAATACAATTACAGTGTGCAAAATGTATTAATTTTTGGGCCTGAAAACTATTGACACAAGACTTTCTACTTATGCATTAAAATAAGTTCCAATAAGTTTGTTAACTTGCTTTTATTATTTCAAAACTAATCTAAAACATTTTTCTGTACAATAGTAAGGAAAAATATTCGATTTTTCTTTAATGGTCTAAATAGCCTGTCTAAGTATGCGTTTATTTTTTGTGCATTGGAAACTTGTGGAATTTATGTTGTCTCGCAAGAAGACGCCTCCTGTATGTGTGCACTAAATCTGCAGACATCAATATTTTCTCGACAGTTACACATGGGGTGGTAATCTGTCAAGACGCATACACACCTCAGGTGTTTCTGATCCACCCATACATCAACCGGAAACCTTCAATCTGCATTAAATTACAAAGCGAAACTTTCAACGCGGAACAAGGATGCAGTGATATGTGCAAACGGCTATGAGAACCTAAAGTAATTTATAATATAAAAAAAATGAACTTACTCTATGCGTTGCATTATTATAACATTGTAACACGACGGGTGCTATCGCGTACGAAATACAATCCGTCGTGGAAGATTTCTTACGCCACTTCCTTTTATCGAGAGGAAGAACTATTAATACTGCTTTCTTCATATTCACACTCTTCTTCCCTACCGGGCCCCTTAACTGACCTTTTGACGGTTTTCGGTCCCGCACCAAAATATCTCAAAATCTCTTCTATACTGGAGAACTCGATAATCTCTCTTCGCTGTTCGTTCCGGTCTCCCCGAAATTCTGAAGACATCGTTGCACCATGGAGCGTTGTTTTCAGTGTTTTCAAATGTACCACGTTACAACATACATACAGTGTGATTTCAGTTCTTGTACAAATCGTTTTCTGTTCTTGTTAATAAACATGAAACATTTCATAAACAAATCGTAATTATATAATTTATATCATACACACATTATAATTAGAATTCATGTCCCGTACATTTTTTGTTTTTTATCAGCGTAGGTAGCTATAGCGGTTTCCTGGGATGTCGGCAGGTCGCATGTGAATAAGTTATACAACACCGGTACCAGGATGCTTCCCTGCGGCACACCTGATTCGATTGGGTACAGCTGTGTTACCTCACCCACCAACTTGATTTGGAAAAATCTGTCACACAAAAACGATTTTAGAATGTTGTGAGGCAGCAGTGATAGTATTTATCTATATGTCTTTGCCAATTTACAATAAATATTTTTATAGGGCTGAGTGGGATTAGGTCAACAGACCGTAACTATATTTACATTTCGTACTAACATTTTTGGGGCTTATTACTTTAATATAATATTCTTTGTAAATATAATCATTCTTATGCTGAATCGAGTGAATCCGGACTGATTGACCCGAACTCGCATAGTTCTACTAATATATAATTATTTCATAATGATAAAAACTATCAATTATTAATTTTATTGAACAACTATAGATAGAATAAGATATTTAATCTTCTCTTATAAATGATACGATTATAAGTATTAACATCTCAATATATTTTCAATATACATGCGGCTGACGAATTTCATGATTTATAGTTTCACGCGTGCAAAATCTAAAAGCTAATTCAAGATTTGTCAATTTTTCACATAAAAGTTTGTTTTTTAATTTATAAATTCCAATATAAATATCTGTTAAAGTCTACAATATCTAATTGTAAATTTGATGTTCTTAGTGTTGTTTTAATTATATTATTTCAGATTTCGAAATAAATTTAGAAAAATTACATGTTCAATTCATACATGTAATTCATAGCTTAATTCACTTGTAAGGCTTTGTTCACTAAAATGATATGGTATTGAAATGACAAATGTTTTTGTAATATTTGTTGGATTATATTTTATTATTCTCAAAATCGCGTGCAAAATCTAAAAGCAAATTCAAGATTTGTTAATTTTTCACATAAAAGTTTGTTTTTTAATTCATAATTTCGAATATAAATATCTGTTAAAGTCTACAATATCTAATTGTAAATTTGATGTTCTTAGTTTAAACACCTTATAAACTTAAAAAATGACATGTTCAATTCGTACATTGAAATCATTGCTTTGTTCACTAAAATAATAGGGTATAGAATAGACAGATGTTTCTGTAATATTTGTTGGATTATATTATATTATTCTCAAAATCGCGAGCAAAACCTAAAAGCTAATTCGAGATTTGTTAATTTTTCACATAAAACTTAGTTTTGTAATTCATAAATTCCAATATAAATATCTGTTAAAGTCTACAATATCTAATTGCAAATTTGATGTTCTTAGTGATGTTTTAATTATATTATTTCAGATTTCGAAATAAATTTAAAAAAATTACATGTTCAATTCATACATGTTATTCATAGCTTAATTCACTTGTAAGGCTTTGTTCACTAAAATGATATGGTATTGAAATGACAGATGTTTTTGTAATATTTGTTGGATTATATTTTATTATTCTCAAAATCGCATGCAAAATCTAAAAGTTAATTCGAGATTTCTTAATTTTTCACATAAAAGTTTGTTTTTTAATTCGTAAATTCGAATATAAATATCTGTTAAAGTCTACAATATCTAATTGTAAATTTGATGTTCTTAGTAATGTTTTAATTATATTATTTCAGATTCCGAAATAAATTTAAAAAAATGACATGTTCAATTCGTACATTGAAATCATAGCTTTGTTCACTAAAATAATATGGTATAGAATAGACAGACGTTTTTGTAATATTTGTTGGATTATATTTTATTATTCTCAATTGAATCGCTTTTCAATTTTTCCAGGTTGCTGCTGCTGCTTGAATCAATATTTCCGTTGTTAATGAAAAGCTGGAGCTTCCTGCTTCGAAATGTAATCATTTATAATTCTTGGCCAACGTTTCGAATTAATATTGAAGCAAACGCGAAGGAAATATGAAAGCAATGGAAACCGATTGAAATATAAACACTGTAGTATTTTCTTTGGCCAAAAGAGAAGTAATTGTGTATTTTTAAGATTTTCATCGTTTAAATCATTTATTAATTTTGTAACGTATCAATAAATTGTATTACGTAATATACAGTCAATTAATTTCCTAAACTGTTATTATTCTAAACTTAATTCAAATTATACAATTTGTTAATGTAATTGCTACAGAAACTAATTGTTACATATGTAAACAATGGTTTTTCAGAGTAATTTTCATTTTTCCTTTGATCTATACTCATCCAAAGCTCAGAATAATTTTGTGACCTTGATTAATTTATATTTATCACTTAAATTAGTATGAGAATATAAATGTTGCATCTGACAAATTGAGAAAACTTATCAACTATTATTCTTGCATTTTGAACATTATTTTATGTTATCTTCCGAACTACCAAGTAATTTTCTGATTCTGCTACAAATGACGTTTGAAGATCTGTAAGTATCGTTAAATCGATTCATTGTTCATATTTTGTTTAACCTATCATTATAATAAAATGTTTTTATTTTATCAAGAGTTTTGGGATTGGCCAATATTGCTTATTTTTTCTTTTGTCTTCGTAGATTTGAAAAATTGAGTTACATGACTTGTTTGATTTTTCAAACAATGTGCTACATTATTTTGGTTAATGGTTCAACGATTTTCAGTATAAAAAATTGCGGCCAACTTCAATTTTTACAAAAAGTAATGCTTGAAATTACTTTGAACTTTTAGCTACATATATTTAAATGTAAAAGTGTCAATTTCAATTTTGTTTTTTTTTATGTATTTCTATAGTCAGCACGTATATTCGCAAATTATTTTAGAACAAAAATTATTTTTCTAATATAATGTAACCTTTCTTACCGAAATGTTGGACTCGAAAAATGAAAGAGAACTGCTAATTCACAGCACTGCAGTCTTTATTTTATTAAGAAATCCTTCTTATTCCCTATTTATTAATAATCGTTTGATTGTTTAAAAGTATGTAGTACTTTTGTGAAGACTACAACAACAAAATCAACTTAAAAAACTTTCAGAGATTTTTAATAAAATATAAAAAGTTGCAGAAAAAGTTTTAATAATATTTTTTAAAAGTATTGGAACATATATCAGTTCATTTTTAATTTATTTCAATAAAAAATTTCAAAATTCAATACAAGTTATTGAAATAATTTGCAACTTTTAAAGTTGACAACTAAAACTATTAAGTAAATCAAGCATATTGGACACTGTTGCTGTGCTATTATTTGATCGCATTTACGTTATTTGATCATCATCTTCTCGTCTGTCTTCTTAAGCCAGTGTCTCAATGTCTCATTCAGTTTCTACTTTATCTTGACTTTTCTGCAGATCTCTGTCATCTCTCTTCTTGTTGATATAACAACGTCTCTCAACTTCATGCTACCATAATGCTTACCTGAGTGTCTTCATATTGACAGT